TAATGTTGGCGTAGTGTACCTGCTGGGTATATTATGTTTAGAACAATATCTGAGGGAGGTTGATCATTTTGAAGAACTCGACTAATGCAGTTCAGACTGCATGATTTTAGCCCTGATTTTTGACTTGCCGACAGGTTTAAAGAAATCACTGACAAATGCCTGACATCACAGCCAAATCGGTGCTTGTTCATGCGAGTAACAATCACACAGTATGGACTATCAAAGACACAATCTGAGAGAATTGCTGATGAGTTGCTGACACTCGTCAGATATTTGGCATGCTAAATATCTGGAGCTGTCGGCGATTCAAAATCATGCTGTGTGAAATGTGTTCTGATTGAAAATAACATCAGTAATCACCTACAGCCGATGAGAGAGCAGCATCCACTAATATGAGTATCTGCAGGCCAGCGGGAGGTTGGGGGAGAAGTTTAAGGGCTTATTTTTGCACCATTTGGACCCAGGAAATGGAGGAAAAACTAGTGGAAATTTGGCAGCAGCAACCATGTCTGTTTGACATGTAATCTGAGCAATACCACAACTGGGTCAAAATAGGAAAAAGTCAAGGAGAAATTGCTAATTGTCTTCAAAGGACAGGTGACCATTCCATTTTCGTTCTCACTAAAGGCTTCTTTCTCATTATGTAGTTAATAACAAAAGATATGCAGGGCCTTGCTTTGTTTCCATGTCACTTCTCGCGTGTGTTTGGTTGTGAGATGTAGTTTGTGGACCGAAACAACGTTGTCTGAGATATTTCGTATTGTAAAGTCATGCAGTGTGAAACCCCCTGTCGCAGATCCATCTTACAGTGTAAACAAAGCACAGACAGAATGCTACCCTAGATAGTCATGCAGTGTGAAAACATCTGTGACACGACTACTTGAAAAATTGTGCTTCTGAACTTGGCATTAGGGAATTTGCATGTCAGTCTGAACCCTTTTGGCCATTCATGTACACAACAACTCTTCTGTAAATCTCAAAACAACTTTTGATTAAGACTTCTACAAACAGGGTATATTGTTATCAACAAAAAAAATCTGATTTTGAGTTAACAGTGACACCAGGCCATGTGTATTACATGTTTAGTCAATAAGCGAAAATGAGAAAATTAAAACAATAAAATGATTTAAAAAGTTACATTGCCAGCTGCTGGTCTGGTATAATGAATACAGTGTTTTAATTGTTTTAGCAAATCTTTTTTAAAAGTTTTTTTTTCTTGTTCTATGAAAATTTCCAGGTAAAATATTTTTTTTATAAAAATAAAACATTTATATTGACCTTTTTTATATAAAAAAATAAAATGGAATAAAAAATATATAGATAGATAGATAGATAGATAGATAGATAGATAGATAGATAGATAGATAGATAGATAGATAGATAGATAGATGATAGATAGATAGATAGATAGATAGATAGATAGATAGATAGATAGATAGATAGATAGATAGATAGATAGATAGATAGATAGATAGATAGATAGATAGATAGATAGATAGATAGATTAAAAATAAATAAATAAATAGATAAATAAAGAAAATCCCAATAGACCTTTACACAGACTGTGATAATGCCTTTTCACTACAATTGCATATTACATTAACATATATAGCATACATTTAAGAAAGTGTTAATTAGGCACAATATATTACAATAAACATTTTTTCTTAGTTACTGCTCTCATGGGTCACATTTCAGGGAAGTAACAAACAGCATATTTCATTCCAGTATATAGTACAATAAAACAGACAAATCTATAATGCTAAATTACTACAATTGTATTACTAAAATAAGAAATATATAAATAAACAAGCAGGTGCTGTGATGATTTACAAATGACACAATCCCATTGTGTTTGACATGTTTTTGTTTTTTCTTTGCACTCTCATAAAGCATTGGCCACGCATTTGCATCTAAGTTTGTATACTTGCATGAAGGATGTTTCTGGCCTAACACGCGCACAGACAAACACACATTAGGCTCTTTCCAGGGGAATATTCCACTTATTACGTCTTTGGCAGCACTGTGGGACAGCAAGCCACTATTCTCAACAACACCCAGTTGTTTTTACAAAGAAACTGTCCTGCATTTTATCCAGAGCACATCCCAAAAAGGGTCATTTAGCATTTAGCAAAGCCTTCAGTTTTGTGGGAGTTTCCTCACCAGATTAATCATTTTTTGCTGTCTTTTTTTCTGCCAAATAATACAACTGTGTGTTATAATCTCCATCAAAAAAGATTTGCTTTGATTAATATATCCAGAAGGGCAGTTGAGTTTAGATTCACTTTCTGAAGCTCTTTGAGTGCAATATGTCCTGATTAATTTATGGGGAGGGGAAAGTATAAGAGCTCAGTTTCAGTGTCATATACTGTACTGTATGTAATGCAACTCCAAATGTGGAAGTGAAAATCACATCATTTGAGGGATGTCATTTCTCAGTGAGTTCTCTCTCACTCTGGCAGTCTTGCTGGCCAAAGGCTCATACAATGACTGAATTGTGCCTCACATTCTGTACAGTAACAGGCTTCTGAATTTATTGTATGTGTCAGCCTTCATAAAGAACTATACAAGTCACTGCACAAATGAATGGCATTAGCTACCGTTAAAGACGTTCACAGGCAAAAATAAATGACTCATTGTGATCTCGACCAAGCCTTGGTTTTACAGCACAGATGTGGCCACTTTTTCTGGTGGCATTGGATTCAGAATTATTTTTCCCATCAATCTTCTGAATAAGTAAAGAGTTGTAAAAGGTAAATGATCATACATTCTTACAAAAAAGGTACTTTATATCAGTGGTTCCTCAATGAATATTTTACATATGTGAATCATTTTTAATTAACTGTACAAATGGTTAATTACTGGAAAAAGGCTCATTTGATTATTAAAAAGGCTTTGAGAACTGTTCACTACAAGGTTCTGTGGGGAGCAAAAGGGTTCCACTGTGGCATCACTGCAAATCCTTCATTTTGCTTTCTATTTGAGAGTATATTTACATTACTTTACAATCCAATTGATAGTAGTTTTGTTTTTGTTTTGTTGCGGCTTTAATATTTGCTCATTTTTATCTACTTTTTTCTACTTTGCGGTAAATAATTAAAATTGCGACAGTCTAACTGTACTGGGGGTTTTGCAGTAAATAAATGTACAATTGCTGCAAAGGCTAACAGTTTACTAGGGATTTTGCAGTAAATAACTTTAAAATTGCAGCAAAGTCTTACAGTGTACTGGGGGTTTTGCAGTAAATAAATATAAAATTGCCTCAAAGTCTAACTGTACTGGGGGTTTGCAGTGAATTGCTGTAAAACTGCAGCAAAGTTTAACTACTGGGGGTTTTGCAGTAAAGAAATGTAAAATTGCAGCAAATTCTAACAACGTACTTGGGGTTTTACAGTAAATAACGATAAAATTGCGGCAAAGTCTAACAGGTTATTGGGGGGTTTTGCCAAAAAATAGCTGTACAATTGTGGTAAAGTCTGACAGTGTATTGGGCATTTTGCTGTAAATAACTACTTTTAACACACTTAACTAAAATGAAGTGCTGTAGAATCACTATGAGTGTCATAAGTGCTATATTCAAATAATCTATTTTTCATAGTGTGATTTTTCCCCTGTAAAGAAACTTTTGTGAATTGGAGAGGTTTTTTTTAAGACCCACAATCTTTGGAACCCAAGACATGTTCATGGAAAAAGCTTATTTACTTTATGAAATTTGTTTTCACTTATTAAAACCACAACAAAAATAGGGGATGGGGCGGGTATTTCTATGGCATCACTTTCAAAAGCCCTTTTAGATTCTTCTTGGAATCTTTATTTTTTTATTGTCCTACATTTACATATTACTTATTGTATGTCTCTTGTTCTACCTCGGAACTGTTTACTTGACCTCACCCTACCCCCTCTCATCTCCTATTTTGCACTACTATTTATTGTCTACAGTTATTTCTACTGTGACTTGTTGTTTAGTGTGATATTAAAAGGATATTTATACATTTGCACTGAGTAGTAAGATGCACTTAATCCCATCACACATGTACAGTTGAAGTCTGTTGAAGAAATTATTAACCCCCCTGAAAAATTAGCCCCCCTGTTTATTTTTCCCCAATTTCTGTTTAACGGAGAGCAGACTTCTAAACATAATAGTTTTGATAACTCATCTCTAATAACTGGTTTCTGTTACCTTTGCCATGATAACAGTAAATAATATTTGACTAGATATTTTTCAAGACATTTCTACAGCTTAAAGTGACATTTAAATGCTTAAATAGGTTAATTAGGTTAACTTGGCGGGTTAGGGTAATTAGGAAAGTTATTTTATAACAATGGTTTGATCGAGACAAAATATAGCTTAAGGGGCTAATATTTTAAAATAAATAAATAAATATTCTAAAATAAAACAAGACTTTTCCCAGAATTAAAAAAATATTATTAGACATACCGTGAAAATTTCCTTGCTTTGTTGAATATCATTTGGAAAATATTTTTAAAAGAAAAAAAAATCTAAGGGGGGCTAATAATTCTGACTTCAACTGTATATAATGTACATTGTATAAGTGTACATTGACAATAAAAGGCATTCTATTCTAAAGTAATGACATTCATGTACAGTAGTCACATTTCACCCCTTAGCAGTCACAGAGTAATTGTGCTTGTAAAGCAGCCATTACCCACTGTGAACTGCAGTAAACTAGATTATTTTATCATAATTAATGTATGAATAAATAAAAGCTATAACTAAACCCCAATACTATGATAGTATGATGCGCTTTATTTTTTGGTCAGTATTAAACTCAGATTCAATCTTTTCACGTTACATAGCCTATGTAACAAATAGGTTTCAGTTAAATTCCAAACCAACTCCTCATCGAAAGTGTCAGCATCTCCAGCTTATGGGAAAAAAAAGTGAATATTGAACATAAACCGTGCGGTTCCCGCCCTCCTCCAGGCGCGCGGCCGCTAATTGGTGTTCTAAACTGCAGCCGGCGGACACGACGGCACAGACGCCCTCAGAGCCCTCAGCCAAACTCACAGAGTCCTGTCACACCGACAGAACAGGTCACTAAATGTTTATTTGTTCTCGTTTTTTGTGTCTCCCTTGATTAAGTTAAAGAGAGATTAGTTTTGGGACAGCGGACGCCTCTTCAAGACATTTCAAGCATGACTGTGGATAATAACGGATCTTGAAGTGTCAAACTGCGCCTCAAACTTCCAGAAACGACAGACACCAGCTCTCACAGGTACACACAAACATGTTTCTTATTAATAGTTAATTGTTGTAATGCATTTGAGTGATAGAAAATGTATAGCTTTATCAGGATGTCCGGTTTTAAAAGTTCAAACATTTTAAAGAAGGCACCACTGGGAAAGAAAAAAGTTAAATGTCTTTTATTTTCACTGCTATTGCTCTTTTATATTATATTATATTATATTATATTATATTATATTATATTATATTATATTATATTATATTATATTATATTTATTATAATATATTAGGCTATATTATAAACAGTGGCGTTGTCTGGTGTGAGTGATACTAACTAAAATAATTTGCTCCCCTGAGGTTAAATATTTGCGCTGATGTTGTTTGAGATATTGGCTGGTCGTTTCTCTAGTCTTATGTTTAACGTAGGTGATATGGAACATGTTTCATTTCAGAATATTTAAACTTCAGCTGTGCTTAGTTATTTTGCTTGTGTAAAGCAAATATTTGACTTTAACAAGTGCATGAAGCAATTGTATAACGGCATCTTAACAGAAGCGCACGTTCATCAACCTGTATGCTTGTGGGTGTGTGGCAGATACACTATATAACCTATATTTTTATTTACTGTACAGTGTTTGTTTTATTAACAAAATAATCATAAAATTGTGCAAAAATATGCCATTAGTACATTAATTTAATTAGATAGTTTTGACCACCAAAACTAAAACTTGAGGGCAAAAATGTCAAATATTTTGTAGCCTTAATCTGTGCATGTGCATAAACAAATTATTTGACGAGCATTTGTATCTATTTATTTCTTTTTTTTTAAATAACCTGCTTGTACGGTGGTCTTTTTTTCTTTCATATATATATATATATATATTTATATATATATATATATATATATATATATATATATATATATATATATATATATATATATATATATATATGTGTGTGTGTGTGTGTGTGTGTGTAAATCATTTAGCTCAATAAGACAAACTAAAAACACAGCCTATATATATATATATATATATATAGGCTGTGTTTTTAGTTTGTCTTATTGAGCTAAATTATTTATTTATATAGTACAGAGTGGGCCTTTATATGGATACACCTTAATAAAATGGGCATGGTTGGTGATATTAACATCCTGTTTGTGGCACATTAGTATATGTGAGGGGGGTTGTGAATAACTTATGAAAGAATAGTTACGTTTAAAACCAAGCACACCATTGTTTTTCTTGTAATATTCCCAATAGGTTTTTTAAGGTGTATCCATTTAAATGGCCCCCCTATAGTTTATTAAAAAAAAAAAAAAAACTGTTTACTACTTTTTGAGTGTAGTTAAAAGAAGGTTATAGAAGTTTAAGTTTAGAAAAAATAAAAAGCTATACATATTTTATATGCAAGTTATGTTTTCCAAAACATGTTTTTATGATCAAATTTTTTGACCCTCAAAGCCATTAATCTAAACTGTTTCCCCTCCCCTTTCTTTCAAATGTGAGCTTGTCAAAAAGTGAGTTTTTTTGTAGCATTGTATTTTGGTACAGTAATGATTCTAATTGAGATGAAATTAGAAATTAGTGTTTTCAGTGTGGTCACGAGTACGGAGTGATATATTTTTCTAATAAAAATGTCTGAAAAGCTAATTGTCTTAGATTTTCTTCCCAGCTGTGAATCATGATTTGTCAGTTGTTATCGTTAATCAGTGGCAGGTGGTATTAGAGGAATGGGGCATGTGATGGATGTAGTGTGTTTGCAGGAGGTCATTTTAAGTCCCACAAAAGTGTGTACTGATGCAGGCTCAAGTGCAGACCAACATCACCAAACTGAGGACTCATATTAGAACCACAATGGCTTTAGGACAACATCTGGAACAATTACCTCATGTAATAGGTAGTTTTTGTTTACAAGTAGTATTTGTTTCAGCTTTAATATCTGCTCCATTTGATCTACTTTTTTGAAGTAGCCTTAGCTGTTAAACATGTTATTGTGTTTTTTTAAAGTAACTATCTGGCAGCACTGTTGCAAACAAGGTAAAATATGTTTTACAGTAGCAGGGGTCTACCGCAATTTCATTTTTTTACAGTAAAATAGCTTTACCGTTATTTATTTTTATGGTAAAATGCCCCTTTACCGCATTCTAAATTTACAGTATGACAAATTTTACTGTAGTTTTACTGTAATTTATTTACATTATTTACACTAGATGACAAAACCTCTTTTTTTCATTAACTGTCTAATTTCTGTCTTCAACTACAGTAGCAGTACTTGATTACTTTTATTAGGGTGGGGAGGATTCCAGTAAATAACTAAAATCTAAAAGGTTACTGGGGGGTTTGCAGTAAATAACTGTAAAATTGCGACACAGTCTAACAGGGTACAGGGGAGTTTACAGTAAATAACTGTAAAAGTAGGGCAAAGGCTAACAGTGTACTGGGGGGTGTTTACAGTAAAACACTGTAAAAGTACAGCAAAGTCTAACAGTGTACTGTGGGTTTTGTGGTAAATAACGGTAAAATTGTGGTAAAGTCTAACTGGTTACTGGGGGTTTTTGCAGTAAATAACTAAGATTGTGGCAAAGTCTAACAGGTTACTGGGGGTTTTGCAGTAAATAACTGTAAAATTGCGGCAAAGTATAACAGTGTACTGGGGGTTTTGCAGTAAATAACTGTATAAAATGCCACAAAGTCTAACAGTGTACTCTAGCACGTCGAAGGGTTCTTAAACATGAGCTCTCATGGTTGACTTTAAATTAAGGAAAAGATTAATAAGGTTATGAAAGCAGATAAGGTTTATTTTCAAGCAGCTGGCCAGATCTGCTGGTGAGGAATGTTTGATGGGAGTAAAGCGTGTCTGTGGTGTCTGTCAAGGGAATGAAAGATGGGAGATTCTCTGTCTGCCTCTGGTCCTCCTCACACGTCTGCGCCAAACAGCTGAGCTGGGATTGGCATTAACTCTCGACTCTGCACTTCTTCAGAGGAATAAGCAAGCCAGAACGCAGGGCTTGAGTGGACGAGAGGGGGCTCTTTCTCTTCCCCGCGGCATTTGCCCCGTGTTAACGTGCCGGATAATACCTCTCTATGATGCACACAGACTTTATGGAAACTCTCACTCACATACCCTGCGGTTTTATGGGGTGAGACCAAAAGAAAGACTCAGTCATAAGCCACAGATGTGGTATACACACTTTACATATGTGAGTGCGTGTTGCTTATATAGTGTTGACTGATTGAAATAAATATTATTAGCTCATTAAAATTTAATTATTTTTTTTAAAGAGCATTGCTGTTTTATTTTATTATTTAAATACATATTTTATTTTCATTTTATTTTATTATTTAAATATTATTTTATTTTTGTTATTTAAATTTGTATTTTATTTTGTTATTTAAATTAGTATTTTATTTCATTATTTAAATATGTATTTTGTTTTTTGTTATTTAGATTTGCATTTTATTTAGTTATTTAAATCAGTATTTTCTTTCATTATTTAAATATGTATTTTATTTCATTATTTAAATACGTATTTTATTTTAATTTTATTTTATTACTTGAATATGTATTTTATTTTTGTTATTTAAATTTCTATTTTATTTTATTATTTAAATCTGTATTTTATTATATTATTTAAATGTGTATTTTATCTTTTTTTATTTTTTGTTTTTATTTAATATTCATGTGGGTTTCCCTTGGGTGCTCTGGTTTCCCCCACAGTCCAAAGACATGCGCTATAGATAAATTAGATTAACTAAATTGGCCATAGTATATATGTGTATGTGTCTAAGAATCACAGTGTTTATGGGTGTTTTCCAGTACTGGGTTGTGGCTGGAAGGGTATCCGCTGTGTAAAACATGCTGGGATAGTTGGCGGTTCATTCCGCTGTGGTGACCTCTGATGAAGCAGAGACTAAGCTGAAGGAAAATGAATGAATGAATATTTTATTTTGATGTAGCATAAAGTTAAAAGGACCTGTAAATGCCCTGTAAATGAAATTATATTCAGTATTTACGCACCCTCGAGTGGTTTCAAACCATATTCGTTTTTCCTAATATGGAAGTCAATGGTTACTGGTTTCCAGCATTTTTCTAAATATCTTCTTATGTATTCAACAGAAGAAAGAAGCGCTGTCATGTGACAAGTGAATGATGAGTAAATGATGACAGAATGTTCAGTTTTGGGCTGAGATGTCACTTTAAGTTCTCAGTATTATGTTTTAATTTAGTTTAGCAAGCTGGACCTCTGACATATATTTGGAGAGGAAAACATGATACCAGGGAGGGTGGAGAGCTGGATTTCCTCTATGCTGAGGAATCAAAGTAGGGCAGTAACTGGCAGAGAAATAGGGTTTAGTTACTGTGCTTGTGTGTGTGTTCGTGTCTAAGTGTGTTTACTGTGCGTCCATGGAGCATAGTGCCACCTGGGTGTTAAAAGGCTCTAGCACAGAAGTGTGACTGATCCTTTAGACTTCTGTCTGTCTCTCATGTACACTTTCTCTGACTGTCTCGCCTCACTGTCTCTCCTCACTACATCAGCAGTATATGAGCCAGTAACACAAACTAACCTCGAGTCTTTTAAATCTTGGATTCCTTGACTCATTTAGAAAGGCAGAAGGCTATGCATGTGCTTCTGTTTAAAGACAAGAACAAAACTTTTATTTTTCTTGCTTGCCATGCAATAGTAGCTATCACAGTGCTTGTGGTTGTTTCAGTGGTTGCTATGGTATTGTGATGTGGTTGATAGGGTGTGGTTGTCCTACAGCATGTGTGTTGTTTTGGTTTCTCATATTGCTCTTCTACTGGGTCAATTTAGAAGAAGATATGAAGACCATCTGATCACTTAGAAAAGCAATGGCATACATCAGAATTTGAGTTCACATTTGGCAGGGCGCTTTACTAGTGGCATGTTATGTACATCTACTGTGGATTGCAAACTCTAATTTTAAGAGTTGTGTTAAATTTGACAAGCAAAATCAATCTCAAGTGATTTAAATGAGCGTGTTCACGTGTTTGACCAATCTCAGGGAT